GCGCAGCAATAGGAAATGGCACAGTTCGTTGTCAGGAGCGGTGTACTCCTGCGGCTGCAAAAAGGCGACGCAACGCAACTGGCCCTCAGGATATACCGCAGGGGAATGCGGCGCTGCTTTGCTCCATAACGCCCCCCCCCCCCTCCGCTGCGGGATCCTACGACTTCAACTGTGGCGGCAAGTGTACCCTGCCGCAGAGTAGATATTTCAAGGAGGTGGAGGACCCCGCCCAGGGCGTAAGTTTCCCCATCCGATCGTTTTTCTTGCTTTTGATCGTACGTTATAGTCTCGCACTTGCGCGATGGCGAGCCTGACGAACCCACTTTTGCATAACACTGGAATACCAAAAACTCCATCTTATCCTGACGCTGCCTTCAATTTAGTTCATGCCTGATTATCATAGTTACCCTTTGATTCAATAGGATTGGCGGCTGGAAGGCGGGGCTTCGAAGTCTAATCGAAGCTAGGGATTGATTAAAGAGCGCGCTTGCGAGGGAAGCGCAGACTGCGTTAGGGTGCGAGCGGGCCTTCCACCCTCAAACCCCTTTGAATCAAAGGGCTGGCGTCTATCGTCCATGTAGGCTGGCTCTTATTACCCTCGCTATATAAACCTACCGAGTGGCTCTGAGTGCGTTCGAGTTCTTTGTGTTCTAATTTTACACCGTTCTTCCTTTCCCCTATGTGAAATGCCTAGAGCTTATTGAATATAAATGAGATAAAATCTGCAAGTACATTAAGTTTCAGCGGTGCAAATCAAGATGTCCGAAAAGAGTCCGGCCAACTCGTCCAGCGGTCAAAGCGCCGCTAAAACCTATTGTGACGAGCACGAGAACATAGACTGTAGTGGCTTTGTTTCTTCACAACTGAAGGATGGTTAGTCGATATGACCTTTCAAGATGGATGTATCACGTATTGGAGGGCATAAATCGCTGATTCCAAAAAAGCCTTTCTTTATCTGCGGTGGAAGAGGATTATGAGCATTTATTGAAGCAAAAATTCAAATGCGTGTATAGGATAAGACAATTGCTAGTATCCATCAAACGCTTGAGTGAGGCAGCGAAATGTGGCTATGCTTTATGTATAGGAGTATCTATTGCATAGAGTGCTCGATGACTCTCAATACACCATCCAAGAGCTAGAAAAATGCTACGAGTGTTTTCATCCTTCTTCCACAATCAATTTTTGGATCGTCCAGAAATGCTAAGCAGAAACGAGAAGATTTGAAAAACAGCGTTTTATGCCCTCCAAGTTGGAGAGCATTTCGTTGTGGAAAGCCTTTTCGATTAACCATCCTTTCCTTGTCAGCTGCCTCGGCTACACGACTTCGCAAATTTCATGATCTTTGCAAAAACACCCGAATATGCGCTTTGGTAGGTACGTCAGTTCTTTTAGTTAATCAGCTGCGAACAGGGTCAAGGGTCAGCAACTACCCAATCCTAAAAACCAAGTGTCAACGGCCCATATTGCCTTGATGTAGAAAGCATTTGCATGGTAAGTGCGTTTATAGAGGATTTGTGAGCGTTTCCTCGTCAGAAAGAACCCCGACACAACAAAGGCTTGTTTCTAGAACAGAAGCCGATTGACCGGCTCAGGGTTACAATCTCCCGTTTCATATAGCAGGGTGGTAGTGAGTGGTAGATACCGATGATCTTCCTGTGCACACATTTTTTCCTGATTGTTCACCCCCATGGGGGTGTGGGCCGATCCCTGCAGCAGTGCAACGCTGGGCCGACCCGTGATGAGGTGCGAGCAAGCCCGCAACCTCATCCGGTTCCAAAAATCAAATAACCTTAACGAGACTCATTCGAGACTCTATCGAAGGTTAATTCGATAAGAACAGAAACTAAACTTTGATCTTAGCCAAAAGGCCGAGAAGCGATACCCGACTGTACTGGCAGCGTTGCCACCTCAGCCAGCGAGTCGGACTCATCGCAGGTCAGCTAGCGCTCACTATCTCACAGCAGAGAGCGCAGGGACAGGTGAGCACACCTGTGCCAACAGGTAAACGCTGTTTTACCAGCAATAGTTTATGTCTGGAAGATTTGCACTGAGAAGGTCTCTTACAGCTTTAGTGAAGCCCCAAGATGATATTTGACTGCTGTAAAATCGTATTGGAAAGAACTATTAAGAAGACTATTTTCTAAAGTAAAGAACGTCCCGAGAGCCTTCGAAAAGACTAGAAAAAATGAGATCAGTTAGGCTTTAGTGCCTCTTGTCAGACTTCTAGGCTTATACTGGCCTGAGCAGAATGTTGAAGTAACTGCGCTTCAACGACTTTGTATGGTGACCTCCTATCTTTCGATTACGAACTTCTCCCATTCACTGCAACGGCTTGAGCTATTCTTCTTCCCAGCATTATCTCTCTAAGGCAAGTGTCCCAAAGATCATCTTAATTATGAACTCTAAAGCAGTAAATCTTCCAGATTTAACCTACTGCTGGTAAAACAGTGTTTACCTGCTGGCACAGGTGTGTGTGTGTGTTCACCTGTGTCTGCGCTCTCTACTGTGAGACAGTGAGCGCGAGCTGACCTGCGATGAGTCCGACTCGCTGGCTGAGGTGGCAACGCTGCCAGTACAGTCGGGTATCGCTTCTCGGCCTTTTGGCTAAGATCAAAGTTTAGTTTCTGTTCTTATCGAATTAACCTTCGATAGAGTCTCGAATGAGTCTCGTTAAGGTTATTTGATTTTTGGAACCGGATGAGGTTGCGGGCTTGCTCGCACCTCATCACGGGTCGGCCCAGCGTTACACTGCTGCAGGGATCGGCCCACACCCCCAAGGGGGTGAACAAAGTCGGGGACAAACTTATAACAGCATTAAGATGCTTAATGATCCATTTTAGGATGTTAATCTCCCTTAAGGGACTCCCCAGCCATCTAGTGCTGTAAACCAAAGAAAACACGGTTTAATACTGGTGTCCTGCTGAGAACCAAAATTTCACTCAGCCATGGAGCTCTCATGGCATATAAGGACTCTAAATTATAAGTAAGCACATTGAAATAAATCTTACATTTCCACAAAACTTGTATACTAGCCAGCACCCACTCCAAGCAAAACGCTTATGTTGGTAAACTTGGCAGTTTACGCACCACCACTCAAGGTCAATCTAAATGAGTAGTTTTGTCAAAACACTTTTTTCATGGGCTGATACCAATAAAAAGTAAAATTGGGTGTGTCTTAAGATCGGCAATAAACGTATACGAATTTTGAGTTCATTAATCTTGTTGCTTTTGCAGGAAAGTATTAACACATTGATGACAATACGACCCACCGGTGGGTCGTACGTGTACTGCCATTTCGGACAATACGACTCACCGGTGGGTCGTAAGTTTCCGAAAGCTCTAACTTTCCCAGCATGCGATGGAATTCTACGGTATTCTGGCACATGATTGGGGACACCTTGGCGAAGCTCTAGCCGGAGTGGTCCGGGCCCGGGATACTGTAATGTAATGTTACGGTAGGTATACCATAGATAGAGGTTAGGCACATATTTTAGCTCGAATCTCGCAGAGTGGTGCTGTTTTTGACAATTCAAGTTTACATGCACAAGAAATACAGGGAGAGCATGAGACTGATGTCAGCCCATCGAAAACTATCGATTTTATTGATTTTTCGCATTGTTCACCCAGGAAGCTCAAACCTTGCATATATAGGTTTTTTAGCATGCTGATTACGAAAATGATAGTCTCAAGTTCTAATACAGCCTTCTTACATCAATTTCTTGATTCTTAAAAAAATTCTACCGTACTGCTACCGTAGTCCCACTGTGGGAAAGTAGTGAACAAGGTGGACACTATAATCGTGATCAGCATGTGAAATACCCAAAACACAATTTTTCACGAAAATCCGTGATGTTGGGTTCGTACAGAGTGACTGCCGTAATCTTACCGTATACTGCTAAAAACTGAAACAAATCCTATTTTGTCAATCAGCGCCTTCGATATCCCTTGTGGGGATATTCTCAGAGGCAGTTCTGGATTTCTTACAAAAAGACTACCATTTGGACAATACGACCCACGGGTGGGTCGTAAGTTTGGCAGAGCAAAAAAGGCTCCTGTCCGAAATGGCGGTAATCGAAAAATCGGCCTTGTCGTCGAAAAAAATGCTCAATTTTTCCGCTACAGTACCTCGTAAACATGAGTCCATCAGATCCCCACAGCACGAAGAAATTGCAGATTCCTCTATAACTATAACCCTTCGATACCTATGGTAAGAGTTCTTATAAGACAGGCACATTCCGATTGAACGTAATATTTGACCGCAAGAATCGAGCCCATACGCAGAAATTCATAAACATATGTTATAGAGGCTTCCAGCGAACAAAATTCCAGGGGACTTTTTACATCATTCATTTGAAAGGAAATTGCCAAGATCTGATGAACTTGCTTAGGAATCTTCTTCATCAAATGTCTGTGAAGCGAATTTGTCGGAGAATAAGTTACTTCAACAATCATCTTATGCTAATAGGACGGAATTCGTAATTTGATAGGTATAACTGATGCTGCTCATCGCCAGGATTTTTATGCATACTTTATTTGGTCATAAGCTTTGGAATCAAGTGACGAGAGATGGGAATTCGTATCAGCATAAAAATCGAATATAACATAATACATAGATGTGGAAATGAAGTAAACCGAAAAAACCCAAAAAAATCGCCTTGCTTGGGGCACACGTCGCGGTGTAGCCCAAGCGAAACGTGTCTCAGGCGTTTTCCCAAGCTCGCCAGCCATTGGTGCTCAAGGATAGGGCGATTTCGTACGGCTCAGGCATAGGAAAATTCGTTCCTACGAGGACGAACGCGGCGAGGAGCGTCTACACCTAATACTGCTTCTGTGCCTTCGTCCTGCAGTAGCTTTTACATCGAATTGCACTGTGGTCCGCCGCCTAAACATGGTGTGTAGCCGTGGGTTTTAAACTTCAATGTACAGCCGCTGTGAAGGAGTTCGACGTTGTAGAATGCTGTCGTTAGAGGCGGATTAAAGTGAATCATCTACATCTGGGCATGCATGACCCGAACAGATGTCTAGCAGAGGAGGTGAAAGAAGTGCCGAATCCATCGGCACAGAGCCGACCAGGGCAGATCAACCGCCGCCTTGCTTCAGGTAGATATCGCACATCGCACCACTTTGGCGCCGAGAACGAGAATCGGAATGTTTGGCGAAGAGCTATCTACCTCTTCCACTCAACCAACACCCGTGCCGATGCCCATTCTTTCCACAGGAGAAGTACACCACAAAGTGTGTTTGCTGAAATACGCACCGATCATCCAGACCCTGAAGATGTTTACGACCCGGCGAACTTCTGCGAGCTGGAGGAGATTCTACACGAATATTCGCGTCGCATCTAGCATCTTACTTTCAGAAGGAAGGACTCCCTAAAGTAGAGACTTTCGAATACCGCCTTTTTCAGTAACAGCGAACGGGAGCATCTACGGGACTACGATCCGATATATCTACTGAGTATGCTGTACAGCTTCCCACGAAGATTATTCTCGCTCGCACTTCTAGCACATTGGATGAAGCCCTGCCATAAGAACAAGCTGGACGCACAAACTCAGCTGTTGGACCACTCCCAGGGGGTTTCGAGGATCAAAGAGGTCTGCCGGGAAACCCTGCTTTTCGTCTTAAAATTCGTCGACTGGAGAAAGCCTTCTCGCCGAAGCTGTTCACCGTGGCATTACAGTGTGATGAATTCACTGCGCTCGGTTCCACTTTATCATAGCTGTCTTCAAACGCTACCGTACACTTGCCGTGTTTCACCACTCCTGCGCCCCAGCAAAAGAAGTCCTGAGATACGAAGTCTGTTGGCAATAAACTTGCTCTCCTGACATATTCCCATCTCAGGAATAACATCCTGTCGAGATTTGCAGGTGAAATCTAGGACTTAGTCGAACAGTGAAAGGAGTTTGATCCCAGACTTATACCATCCCACCAAATAGCATGATTCAATTTTTATGGCCAACGAGCGGCTCAAATTATGTTCTTGTATGGCTTCAGAATCGTTAAGGTTTGCAAGATACAGCTGTTTTTTCATTGTAGAGCAAACTAAACAGAGAAAGAGAGCACCATATTCCCCTCCTACGAATGGTCTAGAGCTTGTTCACCCCCGTGGGGCTGCGGGCCGATCCCTGCAGCAGTGCAACGCTGGGCCGACCCGTGATGAGGTGCGAGCAAGCCCGCAACTTCATCCGGTTTCAAAAATCAAATAACCTTAACGAGACTCATTCGAGACTCTATCGAAGGTTAATTCGATAAGAACAGAAACTAAACTTTGATCTTAGCCAAAAGGCCGAGAAGCGATACCGGATTTACTCGACACCAGCGCGACCTCTTCCAGTGAGTCGGACTCATCGCGGGTCAGCTAGCGCTCACTTTCTCATAGCAGAGAGCGCAGGGACAGGTGAGCACACCTGTGCCAGCAGGTAAACGCTGTTTTAATATCATTAATTAGAAGCGGAAGTTTTAAAGTTTCTTAGAGCTTGCAGTGAAGCCCGAGTTCGATATTTAACTGCTGTAAAATCGTATTGATAAGAACTATTAAGAAGACTATTTTCTAAAGTAAAAGACGTCCCGAGAGCTTTCGAAAAAAAGTAGAAATGAGACCGGCAAGCCCTAGTACCTTTTGTCAGACTGTGGGCTTATACTGGCCTGAGCAGAATGTTGAAGTAAATGCACTAGAATTTTTGAATCGTGACCTCCCATCTTTCAATGAACTTCTCCCACTTTTTGCAACGGTTTGAGCTATTCACAGTTCTTCTCAGCAGTATCTTTTCAAAGCAAGAGTCCCAAAAATCATCTTATTATGAACTCTAAATGAGTAAATCTTCCAGATCTAAGCTATTGCTGGTAAAACAGTGTTTACCTGCTGGCACAGGTGTGTTCACGTGTACCTGCGCTTTCTGCTGTAAGATAGTAGGCGCTAGCTGACCCGCGATGAGTCCGACTCACTGGATGAGGTCGCATGGTGTCGACTCAGTCCTATATCGCTTCTCGGCCTTTTGGCTAAGATCAAAGTTTAGTTTCTGTTCTTATCGAATTAACCTTCGATAGAGTCTCGAATGAGTCTCGTTAAGGTTATTTGATTTTTGGAACCGGATGAGGTTGCGGGCTTGCTCGCACCTCATCACGGGTCGGCCCAGCGTTGCACTGCTGCAGGAATCGGCCCACACCCCCATGGCGGTGAACAAGCTCTGGACTCCTCAGGGGTTGGTATATAGCGCTCTCCCTGTTTCTTTTACTCTACAGTGGATTATCTCTGCTCAATCTGCAGACTTCAATGAATCTGAAGCCATACAAGGACACACTTCGAGCTGCTAGCTTGCCATAAAAATATTACGCTTATTGGTGCGATGGTACGAGCCTGAAATCAAACTTTTATCATTGTTCGAGCTAGAACCAACTAGATTCCAGGTACCCGCTTCATCTGAAGCTCGACAGGATATTATTCTTGAGATGGGAATGTGCCTGGACAACAAGTTCACTGCCAACAAACTTTATCTTCAGAGCTTCTACCGCTGGGAGCGCAGGAGACCAATTTCAGCAATTTCCATAACGAAATACAAAGAAATTGGGTAATTCGGCGAAAATGCGTCTTTTTGCTATATCTTCTTTTGACGTGGATGATCTTGAAAGGAAGCAGATTTGCACTGATCTCACCGACTAGAATCTTCTACGTCACCAACCTACCGTAATCCTCTTGAATAGCGTAGATATGCGGTGAGACGCGGCTACTGTCCACGGTAGCGTTTCGTGACGGTCCATTACAGTGCTTACTCCGGATAGAAACTTTAGGAGACTTTAACAAATTGTCGCAGCTTCTTTACAGTAGCGGGATGGAAGTTCCCTAAATTAGAAATGGCGGTCAATCAAAAAACGCCTAGTCACATCTGCAACTTCACTGCAACATCATAAGAAGCAATCTAACCCAAATGTTTTAAACAACTTTTATTTCTAAATCAGCTTTTCGAAAATCAACTAAATCAGGCCAGATAGATGTCTTCAGTCATCGAAGAGAGCTGTGGTGAAGCAAAAACCCAACGCAATGACTTCACTGTAAGGCCACAGTGAACAGCTTTGGCGGAAGGCTTTCCCGTAGTCAGCCAAGGTTAGAACGAGAGGCGGTCGGTACTTTCGGCAGACTTCTATGATCCTCCCGTCCAGGGCTCGGCACGAGGTGGCTAGATGAAAATGGAAAAAACGAAGTCCCCTTTGACCCTGAACCAAATTTCTTCTAAAAACCTGAAAAATTCCCGAAATCCCCCAAAAACGAAACGTCGACTAAGAAAAAAGGTCGCCGTCGTCAATTTTCCGTATGTCTTCGCTCACAAAAACAAAACCCCCTTTGCTTTTCGTCCCAAAAACGATATCCAGCTTGCTTGTAAGCCACCTGTGCCGAGCCCTGCTCCCGTCTGGATGTGGTCCGTGCAGCTGAATTCTCTGCGAAATCCAGCTTGTTCCTGGAGTTGGGCTTCATCCAGCGTCGTAGATATGCGAGGATGATCTTGGGGGAAAGCTTCTGCAGCACATTCAGCAGGCATATTGAACGATAGTTCCGAAGATCCTCCCGTTCACTTCTTGAAGAGAAGGAAGATTCTTGATGTTCTCCAGCGGTCGGAAATCCTCTCCTTTTGAAGGTAAGATGGGTGCGACGCAAGAAACTCGTGTAGGCGTTATCCTCCGCCACGCAGGAATTCGACAGAAAGATGGTCTAGTCCTGGAGTCGTGGACGTCTGGTTTGTATCGCGTTACGCACTTCAGCAGGTAGAATCCTTGGTGGTACTTCTCCAGTGGGAACAATGGGCATCGGCACGGGTGTTGATGAGCGGAAGAAATTGGTGTAGAAATTCTCCGCGATAAATTCCATCTGGTATCGAGAAGAAATAGGAGTTCCGTCCTACTTTAACAGTGCAGCCAGCAATACGTGATATTCACAGAGGTTCCTTCGGCACTTCTTTCGGCTGCTTCCAGTATCTTGGCTTGCCTGTAGTTCCTGAGATCCTCCTGCAAAGCTGTTCTGCCACTGGCGTTGGCTATCAGTCGCTCAAGGCCTCGGACAGAGTTCACGCGATTTGATCGCCGCGATATTGCTACAGACAGTTACGAGTTCAATGCATGCCGATCTTCCTGTATTTCGGTTATGATAATTAGCCACGACCATCGTGTTGGAGAACTATCACAACCGAAATGCAAGAAGATCGGCATGCAATGAACTCGTAACACTTGTCTGTAGTGATTGAATCGCGCCGATCAAATCACGCGAACTCTGTCCGAGGCCTAAGATGGATTGCATTCGGACCCTCAGGGGCCGTATTCATCAACGAACCAGTGGGTTTCGGAACCCATTGGTTCGCGAACCCAGTGGGTAAGATCGGTATTCACAAGTGCCCCGCTGGGTTCGCCAACCCATGACGTCAACAATGTGCCTCCTCTAGTCGGTGTACTATTTTCGTCATTTTCCCACGCACGCGCTAAACTAAAAGCGTCAACACGCTTGAAACGCTTTCGAGAACTCTTATGTTTGAATGAACGCCACCAATAAATGTCTTTTGTGCGTCGAAACTTGCATTTCCTTATCCTTATCCTTCTTTATTTGAGTATTCTCTCGGACCCAGACATGATTGTCGACTTGGAAAGAGATGCAAAAAAGGACTCTATGCTTTTATGCAAGTGATCTTTTTGTAGCATTGTCTCCCCATGAGCAGAATATTAGCCATACTTTGAAAATTGTTCGACGTAGCTGACGTATGGAATCTACGTAATTTGAAAAGATTGTCATGTTGCAAGGCGTAGCTAAGTTTTATTTTATAAATGCTTTTGCTATACATAACAAGTATATGTACGCCTTTCAAACGAAATCCTCACCATCAGTGACAAAGTGGCATTCGCAGGGAGTGCCGAAGTCGTTTTTGTTTTGATTTGTCACATTCATATTTGTTTTGATCTCGGTCAGAATGTCATCGTTTTTGACATAGGCGTCAAAATATAAAAAGTACGTACTGTCTGTAGAATACGAATTCGAATAGAATAGAATAAGAACTGAAAAATTCCGAGTTAGTATGCACAAACATCGGAAAATGCATAGGTTTTCACGCTTTCACCAAAAT